ATTTTTTTTTCACACACACATATATATATATATATATATATATATATATATATATATATATATATTAGAGTTGGGGTACTCGGACTCGAGTCCGGTCTCGGGTACAGTTTTTTAAAGGACTCGGATGCATTTTTACTTGGACTTGACTCAGACTCGAGCCTTTCAGACTCGGAAAATATGTCAGAGTCCAGGGACAGTTGATGGAAATGTCACTGACTCAATGCATTATCAACAACTGACTTCCAGCTTCAGATTTAAGACCCTTTCACACTGTGTGAAACCAGTTTAGATTTATTGAAAATTACAAGAGATTTATTGAACATAATAAAGTTTGTAGTTGCCGTTACAGAGGTCAGTGTTTGCTTTAGTTGTGCCCTTGAACCTTAACGTTTACCTTCAGACGTTTTCTGTCTGCTGTAGCTGTGTGTTCAAAAAGCACATTTCTTATGGCAAGACAAAATGGGTCAGATGATATTGGTTGTATTATGATGATGCCAGAGTTGCCAGCCACTGATCTTGTTTAATTTAGTTACATGGGTGTTTTATCTGTTTTTATATCTATTGATTGCAGAAGCTCTGTGACTTTGTTGTATGAGATTGGACAATGTTTCACTAATCATTAATTTACAAGAAGTTTTTAACTCCAGCATCGCTGAGATACTCACAGACATCAACAATCAGCACAGGAACCTCAACAATGGTGACAGAAGTTTAATGCCGCAATGCATGCTGGGTTCCAGCATAAAATGAAACTCCCAGCATGCACAGCAGCATGAATAAATTATGCAGCTGAATGGTCTTACAGTTTTCTTTATTTGAATGTATTGTTTTGCTGGTATTTTTGAATGTGAAACAAACGTGAAAAAAATTGAAGGGGTATGAATACCCCCTTAACTTCAGCTATAACTTAAAAAACGACTTGCCCTAATAAATCTAAAACACTAGTACCGAAAAAGGGCAAGCTGATAATGTTTCACAACACAATTTTCACTTGATTTAATAGGCACTGCCGCACAAGCTGTCACAATATTGCATTAAGCCAAGAGAGATCGCTCTTGGCGAGCCGTAAGTAAGGGACCGCGGGGAAAGTGCAAGTTTTCGCCGCATTGATCATAAGTGCCTGATTCGGGAGTTAGCATTGCTTCACACATTGCTATATTATTGATATGGACTCCATGATTTATGTGACTGACTCAAAAACAAGATCAGATGGGTTCTTCACTCCCCACATGAATCAAGCAGATCAAGCATCCACTTCCCAGCTGGCTATGTTTCGCTCTCTGTTCATCTTTGAATGTCTTCAGGAAGCTAAGCTAAGTTCCTTTTTAATGCTCTTAGATTATTGGCAACATGCTTGCTAAGGCTATTCGTGTTGCTTAGGCTTATTTAGTCATTTTCAGTGAAATGCTCGTGCTAAGATATGCGATCATACTGACAATGTACCTTACTTATCTGTGTCATTGGCAACATTCTGTTGCTGCAAAATGCTGTGCTTTAACCTATCAAGTCAAGTCACCTTTATTCAAGCGGCTTGAGGTGATAGATGGAAATAACGATCATGGCGCAAACGGAATCATTTCTGCTGTGGCGCAGCTCAAAAGAGAAACGGTAAACGGTTGTTGTTCAGTGAAGTCAGTTCAGTGTTGATCCTGTTCGGAAATCGGACACACTTGTTCTATCTAGTCATATTTGAAACATGCTTGTTCTTAAACCTGGTTGTTTTTGGGATCATGCTTGTTTTTAAAGTTATAGTTGTATCGGGAGCACGCTTGTTCTTAAAGCTGTAGTTGTATTGGGAATGTGTTTGTTCTTAAGGCTATCTGGTTGTTGGTTGTTGTTGCTTAAGCTTTTCAGGTATTGACAACATACTCGTTAGGTCATTTGGTTAAGGGCAACATGCTTGTGGCTATGGCTTATGCGGGATTTTGGCAACATACTTGTTCGATTCATTGGGTAAGGGCAACATGCTTGTTGCTTAAGGCTTGAAATTTTCGCTGTCATTTTATGTCGGGGGATTGTTTTGGGGGGTTATCACTGCTCTCCCTGCTCTCATCCATGCTAGGCTGCATGGATGCGCAGGGAGTTCTTGCCCAGAACAGAACCATACCGCCAATCCAAACTGTATGCTAATTGTCAATCATCTTTGATGATAGTGGTCCTGACAGAAGTACTTTTTTCCCATTTTTGAACTGTCACCACTGGCATAAAATGCATCAAAGATCGCTAAAGTCAACATATTTTATTAATAGAGCTGCCAATCTCTGTGTAAAATTAACATGATACTGCCATCTTTCAAAAGTCACTTTTTCCCTCCTGTAATTTGGCTCAGAATCTCAAAATTTTTAATTTTTACCCCGCCTAAAAATAGTGGATTACTCAGTAAATATACATCCATGACATGCAATATTTTGGCTTTCTTCTTACTTTTTATATTTCATTCATCATATAAAATATTAATAAAATCTAAAATTTGAGCTGGAGACCTCTGATTTAGTTTTATGGAAATTTAATTACCCATTTTGCATTTATGTAACATGCTAACTGAAACAAAATTATGAGTTTTCATTCCATTTTGCAGGCCGTAAACAACCTCTTCTCATCGAAGAGGCAGTACAGTATCTAAAATGAGTCACGATAAGGGGAGAGAAGAGAAAGATGTCAAGAGAGCAGGATCTCCAGAACCAAACTGGATGTCTAAGAAGAGTGACAGCTGTGCACAAATTAACATCAGCGATGAACCGGCAAGGTTTGACCCAAGGTGAGACAAAGCAGTACTTGAGATGTGAAACTAAATGATCATATAGAGAAAAAAGATTAGATTAAAAAGCTACCCAGGCTCATTGGAAATATGTGCCTCTACATACATTTCTGCAATGTCAAACTTACCTTTAGATATGAGTTGCTGCAGTTTCCAGTTGAAATGAATGCTAGAGGCAGTATAACTCAGGGCCAAAGTTTCAATTAAGAAAGTCTGTTTTCACACAATTCCTTGCATAGTATTATGTTATGACTTTCAAAAACTGATACTTTTGAACATTAGCGTCATATACATCTTCATATGGTGTGGCAGCATGAGAGGTTGCGATCTTTAACCGGTGCAGTTTTCCGATAAATACAGCTTCAACAGTCTCCTCAGCATGCAGGTGTTGTTTAATAATCAAACAGAAGTTCGCAGGTTTACAACTTAAATCTCGTCAGCACACAAACAAAATATCTTAATCGTCTTTACTTCTTCCAACACCAGTGGTGTGTGTCTTTTCCAGGCACAAAAAAAACTATTTTTCCTCCTCTCAGATCATGCTCATTAAAGTTGCATCTGCCCCCTCTCTCTAATGCCGAGTTCACACTGCACGATTTTCAAAGACGTCGCATCACTGTTGGTTTCACACTGAACGACTATCTGGGGTAGCATTCAGTTGTTGCTGTGTTCACACTGCACGATGGAACGAGACAGGAGGTTTCACACTGCATGACTTCACAATAGGAAGAATCGCGACAGCACTGTCTGGTGCAGGGTGCCAGGTTTTCGCTACAAAACCCGCCCAATTACTACTCAAAACTAGCCTGAAAATAGCCCAATTGCTTTCGAGGGGGTCCCCCAGTAAAAATCGCGTTCGGGGGTAAAATACACATTTTTTTGGCGGGGTTCTCCTGGTACAATTCACATTCCAGGGCCTAAATATCACGTTATTGGGGTCACTTCAACCTGCTGACATAAAAAACAACCGGCGGCAATCGCGGATTTGGCAAGACTGGTCTTCAAACTACGTTTCATATAACTCCTCCCCGAACTTCCCGCTGCCCTGTATCTTGGTCTCTCATTGGCTGTAGGTTATTGCCGATGTGTTTTTCAGTCAGAAATCATTGCACACAGTGTGATTGTGAATCGCCGACAGCTCCAGATATTTAGCATGCCAAATATTTCACGGACATCGGCGACGCGTCGGCGATTCTCTCAGATCGCATCTTTGATAATTCACACTGCGTGATTGTCACTCGCATGAACGAGTACCGATTTGCCTCCGATTATGAGCGATTTCGCAAAACCTGTCGGCGAGTAAAAAATCGGGCTAAAATCGTGCAATATGTACCTGAAGCAACACAATAGAAACTCAACAATACATGCCTGTACCAATGTAATAAAAATGTGGCCACAATTCATGTATTGAATTCACGTTTTAGCGCCATTCAGTGGACATATCACTTTAAAACTGCTGCAACACATGAATGTCACCGCAACCACGTATTTCCAGTGAGCCTAGCTTGGAACAAAAATAAAAAAACTTCACATAACCTACATGCAGAGGTGGAAAGAGTACGAAAATATTATACTCAAGTAAAAGTACCATTACATTAATGAAATTGTACTTAAGTACAAGTAAAAGTACCAGTCTAAAAATCTACTCAAGTAAAAGTACCAGTCTAAAAATCTACTCAAGTAAAAGTACCAGTCTAAAAATCTACTCAAGTAAAAGTACCAGTCTAAAAATCTACTCAAGTAAAAGTACCAGTCTAAAAATCTACTCAAGTAAAAGTACCAGTCTAAAAATCTACTCAAGTAAAAGTAAAAAGTAGCTTGTTTAAAATGTACTCCGAGTAAAAATTACTTAGATACATTTTAACAGTGAAAATATTATACTCAAGAAAAAGGACCATTACATTAATGAAATTGCACATCTACTCAAGTAAAAGTACCAGTCTAAAAATCTACTCAAGTAAAAGTAAAAAGTAGCTTGTTTAAAATGTACTCCGAGTAAAAATTACTTAGATACATTTTAACAGTGGGAGGGAGGCAAAAATGGTATAGGCCAAGGGTGTCAAACTTAGCCCTGCACAGTTTAGATATAACCCTAATTAAACACATCTGATCCAGCTAATCTAACTTATTTAGGCTTATTTCAAAACTACATGGTATGTGTGTTGGAGCAGGGTTGGAACTAAACTATGCAGGGCTGCGGCCCTCCAGGAACTGAGTTTGACACGCCTGGGATAGGCCTATAAATCTCAAACCAGTTGTTTTTAATTAAAGGTATCAGTTATTTAGAATAATAAGACATTTGGTCTGTTACCAGGCAAATTAAATCAGTATCAACAAAATTCATCTTTTCAATGCAGAGGAAACACAGAAGCTTCTTCGGAAGTGGCATTTAGATGTATTAATAAGTGAGTCATTGCGACTGAACCGAATCATTTAAATGGTTTATTCATTCACGAACAAAACACCGTCATTGCTCAGAGACGCAAAACTGTGCTATGGTGGCTGTTTGAAATTATTTTTGTTGTCGAAATAGAGCCAAAACAGGCAATATGGTGTCTAAAACACAGGCCTCTTAATTAACTTATTGTTTATTGAACTGTTGTAAAAAAATGTAATCATGCTGAAGTTTGGAGGAAAAACGGCACTCTTCGTGTGATATTGATTTACTATATGAAATTATATAAATATATACATTTTCTGCCCCTATATCTTCAATTTTGTGATCATTCTAAATGCATTTTAACAGACTGAATCCTGCAGTGAAAGAACGCACTCTAAATGCGCACATGCACTAGTCTAATCTACTAGACTCAAAGGCACTCTGTAGGAGTGTTTTGTTTGGTTTTTGGCAAAATACTGATCATGTCAAATCATACATAATTAAAACAACAATTACAATATTATCGCAGACGATATATATCGCACACCCTGCACCACTGTCTTTTTGGCTAATTTGTGCAAAACCTTTTAACCACCAATGCAATGATGCAAACCCTACCTCTACATGCTTGCGAAGGGTTGATGTCGAGATTTTATAAGCTGCTAGTTTGGTCTCCCTAGGCAAACAGCTTTCACTGCAAAATAGAGCTTAAATATGGCCAAGGGTTCACTTCATTTCCTTCGAGTTCAACTTCAGCAGAATACGACGGGGTATCGTTTTCAGCTGGGTCTGCACCATAACGCCTGTCTTGTCCGTCTGCATCTTTCTTGTGATTTTAGTGCCTGTTTGCTCTCCTGCCCATTATTTACTGCAGTAGTTTTCAGGGAGCGATTTTTTTTTTACTCAGTAATTAATGTGTTTTAAAATGTAGCAAAGTACAATATTTCAAACAAAATATACTTAAGTAAAAGTAAAATTACAGATTTTAAAAATTACTTTAAAAAGTAGAAGTACACAAAAAAGCTACTCAGTTACAGTAATGTGAGTAAATGTAATTCGTTACTTTCCACCTCTGCCTACATGTGTATTAGGTGTCACATTTCAAGAAATGCAGTGTGACGTACTTCATCTAAAAGTGATCGTTTTAATTAAACAGCATTATAGAATATTAGTAATAAAAACAAGTGTGTTTGTCACACCACAGCACTATATTTTGTGATCTGACGTGGTATCACAGATCAAGGCAGAAATTATATATTATTATATAGCATTCTATTAAATGGTAAACATTATATCAGTTAGCATGGCATTATAAATATACATTATTCGTATGAAAAACCTGAGATGTATAGATTAGAAAAGCAAAGATAAACCATATACTGTCGCATTTGTTGTCATGTTTCATTAGGGTATAGGGCTGCCACTAATGACTATTTTTATTTTGATTAATCTATCAACTAATTTATCAATTAATCTAAACGATTAATTTCCCACAAAAAAATCTACAATTTTAAAAAAACATTTTATTAAACTTGCAACTTTGCCTTTCAGTAGTGTACCATAAAAAAGTATAAATGTAAACAAGCCATTGATAAAATGTAAAACTATAAGAGTAAAAATGTAAACAAACCTAATAAAAATGAAATAAAAAGAAAATAATTACAAAAGTCTGAGAAAGTCAGCATGTTCTTAATGTCAATATATCCACATGTTCTGGGCTTCTATTCATTACAGCTTTGAGTGCAGCTGTAAAGGGAAAAAATATGTTTAAATTAACCCCAACAGTTGGGGTTTTCACATTAAATAAATGCAATGTTTAGAGTCCACTAGAATCAAGTATTAAAATTGTATTATTAAAAGTTATTATTATTAAAAAATGTAAGTATTAAAAGTACTCTTAGAAATGTGTAAACAACAGATTTAAACAGACATCTCCAGCATGATGACAAAAATGAACAGAGGGCTTCAGTAGTGAAACTCCAAACGAAATCCAAATTTCTATGAAATCCTATTTTAAAGCAAAAGTAAAGTGCTACATAGAGTGCAAGAAGGAAGTGTCCATCTCATAGTCCAAATCACTGAAATCAAAGTTCAGTATTATAGTGTAAGAATGACAACATGTCCACGTATTCTAGTCTACTAATAATAAAATATTATAATTAATAATTATTTTTGGGGTAATAAAAATAGATGTAGGCTAAGTGAACAATAGCCTTTAAATTTACTTAAAATGCATATATAATAGCAATGAGGCAATAATAATTAGTTCAAATAAAGTATCAAAAGCAAGAAATCATATGGTTTTATTGAACAAAACTGTTAAAATACTGTATTATAATGTAATAGAGCCACTGATCTATATATAATTATAAAATAAAATAATACAATATAATCTCTATTATAGATCAGAGAATAGAGCTAATGTACATCACGCATTACAATAAAGGCCTGCAGAGGGCGCCAACGGCCTGACGATTGTTTTTACACATTGCTGTGCGATCTAATACTTGTTTAATATTGACCAAGCATCATTTAATTCAAATGTCCACTTAATCTTTTATATTTGGCCATTTTTTGATGACAGAAATGCTCTAGCCACTTTAATTTAAAGAATATGTGGACATCAAAACGTGTAAACTCAGAGTGAGGGTTTGAGCTTTTATTTTGAAACCGCGAGATAATGATGTATTCTCCTGTGTTTGCATGGATTTATAAATGATTTACCTTACAAATCTGATGAAATGGCGCACGTTGCGTTCCCATATGAACGTTATAATAAATCCAAACTCACAACAACATGCAGAGATGGAGTTTGAGCTGCTCCACACACATGTAAATGATAACAGTTCCTGTGGAACTGCATTTACTGTGAACGGAGCCACTGTGTGACACACGTAAGTAACCTACATGCCTATAACCATAGATATGTATAGATGCCCCTTTCGACGGCTGCATGCTCCAACACTAGGCAGCATTTATCCGTTTATGTATTGAGCAAATGCATCTATATCCTCTGCCTCAGTTACCACTCCACTTAATACAGCCTGATTGCTCAATTCTATATTCATCCATTTCATTGGTTTAGTCTGCTGCTCAGAACTCAAACTAAGCTCTCCAATTCCAGCTTGGTGTGAGTTATCCTGCTTGGGGTGTGCCCAATATGCCCAATATGTTTGTTTTCTATTCCATTCAAAGATTATATGAACATGTAAACATGTGAATGGTGCAAAAGTTCTGACATATATTTTCTGTTTCATTTTTCCATCTCAAAAACCTTTTTAATATTTAACAAGGGTGTGTAGACAGTGTGTAGAAGTTGTAAGGTGATATCTGTGCTTTGTCCCTACAGTGGTGGAAAGGATCATCTATACCACAATCAGTCTAGATGTGGAGTTTGTGAGCAGGTTCCGAGAGACCCGGTCTCTATCTCCTGTGGACACAGTTTCTGCAGACAGTGCATCAATACATACTGGGATCAGTCCAGACCATCAGAAAACTATGACTGTCCTCAGTGCAGAAAGACATCTAGAACATATCCTGTTCTACACACATACAACATTATTGGAAGATCCAGATCTGCTAATTCTGTTCAATATTACACTCAAAAAGCCCAGCAGGAGAAAACAAGAGACCTACAGAAACCAGTTGATGATAAACTACGTAGGTTCAAAGACCAGCACAAAACCAGCTTTTCAAACAGCTGATGAAGGGCAATGTGATGTTCTATGAGGAGGACCTGATTGAGAGCTGCATAGACGTTACTGACGCCTCAGTGTATTCTGGGATTTGCACTGAGATCTTTAAGGAGGAATCTGTGATTCATCAGAGGAAAGTCTACAGCTTCATTCATCTGAGCTTTCAGGAGTTTCTCGCTGCTTTCCATGTTATTCACTACCATCTTTGTACTACAATGAAAGCACTACAGTTTATTACACTACATCATATGTTTAAAGCAGCAATATATACAGCTCTACAAAGTAAAAATGGAGAGCTGGATCTGTTCCTGCGGTTCCTGCTGGGAGTCTCACTGGAGTCCAATCAGAGACTCTTACAGGATCTACTGACACACACAGAGAACAGCTCAGAGAGCATCAGGAGAACCACACAGTACATTAAAGAGAAGATCAGAGATGGACATGGACTCTCTTCTGAAAGATCCATCAATCTGTTCCTCTGTCTGCTGGAAGTGAAAGATCAGACTCTGTCCAGAGAGATTCAGGAGTTTGTGAAATCAGACAAACACTCAGAGAAACTCTCTGCTGCTCACTGCTCAACAATCTCCTACATGTTTCAGATGTCAGAGGAGCTGCTGGATGAGTTTGAGCTCAAGAAATACAACACATCAGATGAGGGGAGAAGAAGACTGATACCAGCTTTGATCAACTGCAGAAAAGCTCTGTGAGTGTTTTCTTCTTGTATACTTATTGAAGACACTTAAAGTGTTTACATAACCTGGCAATCAGATGCAAGTCTCTTTTAAAGGTATTTAGAAACGTAATATTATAATTGTGCATTGGGTTGACAAGAGGTGACCAGCCTTTTATAAATATTCTACCATTTCTACAGTCATAATAATAATACATTTATCTTATCTCTTTCAACCCTAGCGTTTTCTTAAAGAAACGTTTCCAGCCAGTGCCAGATTTTTGATCATACAATCATATGCACAAAACTTTCATGGTCTCCAGTATATTTTCAATAATCCCGTCTGCTGTTTTAGTTCAGACCAAAAAACTAATGTGCCTTCAAAAATCTAAAAATGTAAGATGTGTAAGACTTAAAGGGGTCATATGATGCGATTAAAATTTTTCCTTTCTCTTGTGTTACAAGAGTGTTACAAGCTCTTGGTGCATAAAGACGATCTGTTAAGTTGCAAAGACTAAAGTCTCAAATCCAAAGAGATATTCTTTATAAAAGTTAAGAGTCAGCGACGCCTACCTAAATGCCTAATTGCTGAGGAAATACAACAATTTTGCGCTGTGGATCGCCGGATCGGCTTTCACCGTGGTCAAAGCGGAGTCCAGCCCAGGGTCGTCACATGTGGTTGCCGCAAGCCTCCTTCGTCGAATCCGCTGGTCGCGCCGTTCTGAAGCCCGCCGCCTCTGCTCACTCTAGCCCCCGGCCTCTGCTTACTCTAGGCCGCCGTGTGTGACGCTGTGTTTCGTTGTGAAAGCGAAACTACTTAGTTTGGTCTTCCAAAAATGGACACGACTAGAAATCAGTGGTTAAGTTGTATTTACAACACTGTTCCAGAACACTTCAACCCAAATATCCAGATGTGTGCAGCACATTTTATGGAGGACTGTTTCCTGATCCTGGTAGAGTAGACTACAATGCCGGCTGTTCTGACTCACAGATTGTAAGTACATTTTTTATATTTAAAGAGTTTTGACTTTTATATTTAATGCAAGTTTTTTGGGCAGTGTAAGCTTTGTAAAAATCGATGCGTTTCAGAAAGGTGGGGCATAGAGGCGTAACAATAATGTACAGTATGTGGGAAATAATGTGTTTTTTTAACCTTAAACCACATAAACATTTCATTACACCAAATACACAAAATAATGTTCTTTTTAGCAACATCATATGACCCCTTTAAGATATGTGTGTGTTTTAAATTAAAATAATTATTTATACATTTCATTCATCCCTTTTCTTAGAAAAATAAATAAATAAATGCTGAAATGTGAGGTTTGTAACTTTATAAAACCTTTTCTGTTTGTGGAAACCTGTATTTGAACTGCAAACACAGGTGGTAACAAATACAAATGTTTTTGCAGACATTTTATGGTTTAATATGCTACCCTAAACCTATATATGTATATATATATATATATATACACATTTTTATTCTATATGATGGCAATTTGTTGTCTATACAATGCAATGTTATATGCAGTCCAGACAAGTTGTTTTTAATAATGCAATAACATCTGATTTAAAGTGAAGAACTCAAGTATGTGCGTAAACATGTAATTGCACTGAAAAAGCTTGTAAACTTTTGACATTTGACATTGGAAAAGGTGTAACAACCCTGATACAAATGCTTTAATATTTTTAGCTACAGTAGGTACATTTAACAGTAGCTTTCAAGTAATAATCTGAATAAACAAATGTAAAAAAACAGGACATAGACTTCACTGCATTAATTAAATATATACTGATTCTTTTTAAAGTTACTGAAGTTATTTAGTCAACAGCAGTAAGTTATTTTTATTAGGTGGCTGTCACTTTAAAAGTTAATTCATGGATATAATGTAATGACAGATCCGAACTGTTTATATAAATGCATCATTCATTATAAATGCATCATTCATACATTCATTCAATATATAATCAACTGTGTTTAACTAAACCTTATGTGTATTTCACAGTTTAAGCACAATAAGTTGTGAAAATGATGCAAAGGATTTCAGTACTCACACTGGTGTACACGCTTAGAAAAGTATATGTCAGAACAGTGTGCAATGAGACAGACAACACAGACAGAACATTGGGGTTGATAGACAAGGCTGAGCATTCAGAGGCAGCCTCCTTGGCTGGGTCGGGACAGGACAACAGTTCACAAACGATTTCCTGGGCCGAAACAAAGCAAGCAAAGAACTCACAAACGGCCTCCATAACCATGACAGGACGAGCAGGGAGTTTGCAAACGGCCTTTATAGCCATGACAGGACGAGCAGGGAGTTCGAAACGGCCTCTATAGCTGTGAAAGGATGAGCAGGGAGTTCGCAAAAGGCCTCTATGGTCATGACAGGACGGGCAGAGGGTTCACAGAGAACAGAATCAAAAGGGCGAGACTAGAGGGGATAAATCCAGGAAAACAGGCAAAGATCAGAAACCGGGAAAACAGACAAAGCAAGACTAGGCTGGGAAACTAACGAGGGCTCTGTAAAGTAGCTATCACTGCTTGCGATAAGCGCATACAATACTCTGCAGAGAATGGTTGTTTGAGTGAGTGTTAAATAGTGAGTGAGTAATATGAAACAGCTGTGTGCAATCAGTGCTGTGTGCAATCAGTGCAATGAATGATGGGATATGTAGTCCGGGATGATATGCAACAGTTTGTGTAGTGCGAGAGTCAATGTAATGGAAAGGGTGACCTCTGATGGTAAGCAGACGGAAGTTCATGGACCGGATTCATGACAGCAATAAAAAATTTAACTGGCATGATTTTATAAGTGTGTTGAGAAGGTTGCACCAGAACTGCAACTGATAGAATATGCACTTGTAGCACGATACTATGATCTTTCTTCAAAGGCAGATCGTGGAGGAATTTTAATTGTTTACGACCTTAAATCGTGATATCGCACACCCCTAATTAAAATCATTTGTGGATCTTATTGAAAATAACTAAAATTATTATAAAATGTAGTTTTAATAATTTTGCCAAATGAACTTATGCTCAACTGAAAGGGATTGTCATTGCAATTGCAATCTACCAGTTGGACACCACTGAGATCATTTTGAAATGTTGTATTCAGTGGCACCTCTATTAGCTATGCATTACACTCACTGAAACTTGTATTTGGCTCTCATTCAGATTGTCCAGCTGTAATCTCACTAGTCAGTCATGCAAAATTGTGGCTTCAGCTCTACAATCCTCAAACTGTGCCCTGAGAGAGCTGGATCTGAGTAACAATGACCTGCGGGATTCAGGAGTGAAGCTGCTCTCTGATGGACTGAAGAGTCCAAACTGTCAGCTGGAGATACTGAGGTGTGTAACAGTAACATTTTTCCATGTCTATTTTCTAATAGAGTCCTGATACTCTGGAAGCTGAGCCTACCCATATCTCAAACAGCAGAGCATGGTGCTTGCAAAGCCAAAGTCAAGTTGTCTGTTCCCAGGGAATTCATGAATTTATCAAATGTGTGACTTCTTTGCCATGAAAGGCACTCTGGAGTATCTTAAAAGGCACAAATATACAGGAGTTGTACAGATTGGTAATACTTTGTCATTCAATAATGCTCCCAAAAATTAAAGTTGTATAATTTACTGATCCTCATGTTGTTCTAGACCTATATGACTTAATTTCTTCTCTGCAATTCAAAAGGAGGAATTTTGTCCAAGCTGCTTTTTAAGGGTGCTAAATATGATTTGAAACCACTGGATATCGCACAGGAGCACAAGCATCTCAGACCAAAACAAACATGTGCTTCGGCCACACCTCTGCCCTTCCTTCATGCTATGATAAAATATAAGTATGCTATATAATATAATATAAATATGCTATAATTATAATATAAAAAACATGGCCAAGATGTTTTCTTTCAGAAAGTGTGGTATTTTATAGTTTTTGTGATCTCAGTCAGAATCACAGTCAGATTTTGATCCAGCAGCTGAGGTTAGTGTAAGTGTCAAAAGGAGGGGCTCACATGCACACATGCCTGTCCCAGCTGCCAATACACTGGAAAGAAAAGATTAGATTACAACACATATAAAGGGGTTGTGACTTCACTTTCTGCTAAGAATGTCATTACTTCACTATGTCTTTATAAAGCAAATAGTTTGGTGATTGTGTGTGTATATACAATAAAGGGCGACCGATAGTGAATTTTACTTCCGATAGTCTTCGATAGATTCTGATAGTTATGTTGGACCATACCGGCTGATACGATTAATCAACCGATAGTTTTTAAAAGTGATGCTGAATTAAAACTAAAATAGTGATTTACTATTAAAAAAAAACAGTACTGAACCATACATTGTAAATGAATAAAAATATTAATATTAATTATTAAACATTAAAGTTAGTTAAAAGTTTATTAAAGGGGTGGTTCATTGCGATTTCACTTTTTTAACTTTAGTTAGTGTGTAATGTTGCTGTTTGAGCATAAACTATATCTGAAAAGTTACGAAGCTGAAAGTTCAATGCAAACGGAGATATCATCTTTTAAATTTCTGGCAGTTTAGTGCCTACAAAAATGGCTGGTAGGGACTACAACAAGTTACTTCCCGGATTCGTGACATAACAAATCCAGATAAACCCCGCCCTCGGGAAAAGGTAGCAAAGGGGGTGAGGCCATGCAGCGCTGCTTTAAAGAAGAGGAAGAGAAAACTAGAGGTGCAGGTAAAATCTGTTCATATATGAATCGCGATTCTGTCTTCTAAGAATTCTAATGGATTCACAAGTTTCAAAATCAGTGTTCTAAAGCAGCGGTTCTTAAAACAATTCCTCGCATCCCCCTGCTCTGCATCTCTCTCTCTCTCTCTCTCTCTCTCTCTCTCTCTCATTCAGCTCAGCTC